AGCTTGGTTGCTGATTGAGCTAAGGTTGTTGTACTTTTAAAGTTACGGTATTTTTGATACCATATTGTTTTTGTTGACCCCCTTTTCCACTTACAGAGCTAGGTTATTGTTTTTCTTTGAAATAAATATTCATGTAATTTTATTGGTATCTATCTTCATTTTTTACATTTACCAGTAGCTGCCTCATTTCCTACCCTAGGCTTATACTCGAGTCAATATTTTTTCCCAGTTCTTTGTGGTAAAATTAGGTGCCTCGGCTTATATTCGGGTCGGCTTATACTCGAGTATATACGGTATGTGTCCTACTGTGGTTGTGTTTGCATGGGGAGGTTAAAGAACAAATAAGAGTACGCACATACAGCTCAGAACTTTGAGCAATGAATTAACGTACTGACAAATGTAGGTAACTGCTGCTTTTCCAGCATGAAGCTCCTGTTCTCAGTTTTGATCAACTGCGACAGGTGCATTTCTGAGCGCTCTGGATTGCGATCTTCCATTTGATTTAAACAGGGCTGCCATGTCTTTAGTCCTGATTGTCTGTCAAATCCACTTTGTATCTTTAAGTTGGAGATCTGACCAAGTAGAGTACGTAGCCTGTTTATTTTATTGCTATTGACTTGGAGAAGTATGGGTTTTCTGCTCTTCACCTTACACCTTCTGAAGTCAAGGAAAGTCATAATTAGACACTTGCATGTGAAACTATCTAAACCATGCCCCAAAAGTTTCAAAAATAGGAGTTTCAAGTTAGGATTCTGTGTGGTTTTCAAAAAGAGAAGAGCATCTAACAGCTCGCATTCACCTCAGTTGGTACTTGTTGGCTGCTTATCTCATTTGACAACTCAGGCAGATGATTAAATTACTCGAGTTTTTTAAAACCATGGCCATATTGCCTTGCTTTTCACTTTAGCCCCTGCAATACTGTGACTACTCCTAAATCTTCTCAAAACGCTGGCTTTCTGCATTCTATTCCATACAGCACCCCCAACCACTCCCACTCCACCCCCTGTGCTCTACAAATCATAAATTAGAATTGGGGAAAAACTGACTAGTCATCTAGTCCCATGCTCTGTGCCAGTGCAGTATTGTCCCCCTGCAGGATGCGGCTACTGCTCAACTGAATAGCTCAGTGCGTGAGCTCTCGGGTTAGATTCAGTTTTGACTGACCTTTGAAAAGCAGCCTACCGTGAGAATGGTTTGTATTCTACAGAGCAAGTGAGAGCTAAAGTTACAATAGCTTTGTAAAAGTCTTGGACACATATAGCTATGATGCCTGACAATTCAGTAATCTGGATCCTAGGGCTTTACTTTAGACGAGCAAGCAGGAACTTAAGACTTTTGGAACTCATCCTGTCTACATCACCAGTGACGATGGGCTTAATATTTGTTGGTGAAGGTTAGTGACTTGATTTGAGAGTATCTACCTGAGAGAAGAGTGGCAGGTCTGATCTCTACAGGCTCAAGATGGAAGAAAGGATTGGAGTGGAAGGGAGAAGGAATGACTGTTGGCTGTTAGCTCTCTTTTGTGTGCTTTGGTTATTTGCCTGATTTTGGTGTATAAATCCATGGCAGGGAAAAGACAACACTTTGTTCAGGGGAAGCATTAAAAATACATTTAGTCAACACAACTTTTTTGGTGACACAACTTCATTATTGTAATGGGTGAAAAGAGAAAAATCTGAATGTCCTTTGACTAAAGTGAAACCAAAATGTTTTTGGAAAATATTTTGTGGCTTTAAAGGCAAAGCAGAAAATATTTAGGTGCAAATAACTCAAGTTTAGGCAGCTTGTGTTTTTATCACAATATAATATTTAGGTTCTAGCCTGGGCTCATTGGTTAACCTTAGTGGTTATACGCCCCCCACCACCACACGCACACACACACATGCTCCTGCTTCTCTATCAGATGGGGGTGGCAGGCAGAATTTAGTGTACACGGGGATCTGTAGGCTATGTGGGGAGGGTGCAGACTCTGGGACTGGCCCCACTCCACAGGGGGGTAGGCGCCAGGCTTGGGGTGGGGGGGACTCCGTATCAGCGTGCTGGCTGGCATCTTGGCAGAGCCCCAGCCCTGCTGACCACTCTCTTGGTGCTGCAGCAGCCCCCAGTGGCCATGCTCAGTGTCGCATCCCTCCTGTCTGTGCCCCTCCCTTTTGCATTCCTCCACTCTCTGCCCCCTCCCTTTCCATGTTATGCAAAATAGCCCCATTCCTGACACTTCCATTTTCCAGGCACAACCAAACGCTGACCTTGGCTTAAGTTAGTGTCAGAGGAAGCTGCCTACCAAATTTGGTGGGCCTGGCTCTTACGGTTTAGAAGGAGTTCTTGAACAAATGGACAAACAGTCACACTCTAAAATAGATCTGTAGATTAATCCTTCTCAGATACGGGACAGGTGTGCCTTCCAGACACATGGCTATGAATGCTAGCCAAGTAAATGTTAAGGACAATTAGGGAACTTCTTTAGTTAATTATACAATTGGGTGAAGAATTACAGCTCCTGAGATGCTGGAATTTTTGAGGAGTAATATGACCATGTGCCCAGATCATCATAGCTGCCTGTGGACGACTATTGCCTCGATGCTGCAGGAATCAGCTTCTGCAAGGACACTAATGTTGGTCAATCGGTCCTGCCATGTGATGCCCAATATTCTCCTGAGGTACCTTTGGTGGAATTTCTCCAGATCTTTAATATGTCATCTATAGGGAGTCCAAACTTAAGCTCCATATAACAACGCTGGGATGATTACGGCATTGTAGACATCAATCTTGGTCTGCATCTTGATGTCACAAGGCGCTCGGGCGGCCCCGGGGCACATGCTGGCGCCGGGTGCAAGGGCATCCCCACCCCTGGCGTGCCCCAGGACCCGTGGCCCCACCCCTCAGGCGCTCGGCGTGTGAGTGGCCCCGCCCCCAGGCGCCCGGAAGCCTCTATAGGTTGGGGACCACTGACATAGAGTGTCAAAGCTGAACAGTGGAGTGTGGAATGCTGAGATTCTGGCAGAGAAGAGAAGAGAGAGAGAGAGAACTCCCCTTTTGGTGGCTGAGGATACAAATCTATCAGAAACCTACTAACCAAAGGCTGATGTGAAGGGTGCAATCCGCCATACAGTGCTCAGACATAGAATTTCTAATCAGACACCATCATTTTCCAGTATCCAGGATTAGCAGTGGGGCTGTGCATTCCTCTTGGATCTCCCCTTCTAAAGAGATCTTCCATCTCTGGCTAATGTGGGGCTTAACATTTTTTCCACTTTCTGAAAGGTAAATGTCATAAATGACAGGGTGGGCATCCGTCATTAATATAATCTGTCTGGATATCTGCTGTCGGCTTTTGAGCAGAAAGGGATAACTGAGAACTTCCTCATAGGCAACAAATGTTGAATTGATTTGAATATTAAAAAAAATAAGGGTGTAATACAGCAAATATATAAAATATAAGACTGAAGCCTAGCATGTGCTGTTTAAAGACTTCATAAGACGCTACAGGTTGGACCTCTCAAAACTGGGACTCTTTGGTCTGACAACATCTGTGGTCCAGAGTTCTGGTATAGGACTGGTGGTTAGGAGCCCTGCAGGTTGGCAGGGCACTGGGACTGCCCAGTGTGGGCCTGGCAGGGCAGGAAAGAAACCGGACGGGAGGCTGGCGGCCAGGTTAGGGCAGGAAGGCCAGAAATTATCTCCCTGGTACAGCAAAATCCTTTATCCGGGATCAGTCAGGTCCCAAATGCACCAGATCAGGGAGGTCCAACCTGTACTATGGTGTCTGAGGCACAAATGTAAACTTTTAAATAGCAAACTCTTAAAAAAAAAAGTGATTAAAAGTACTCTGAAATATCAGGTATGGGTCCCACTGTTTTCACAATTGACTGTGCCAGAAATTTTGGAGAGTCCTTTCTATGCTCTTGAGGGAGAGAGAAAAGAAATAGCTTGGTTCATTAACAGACCATGTACAGCTTTTTTGGCAGGGGGGAGCTAGAGGCAAGAGCATAGGTACACAGTTAAGTTGTGTGGGATCTTGTAATGCACTGTCTGCAAAGGTGCAGAAAATACAAAGAAGGCTCAAAGTCTTGAGTCCTTCCTTTGGAAAGGAATTTAGATCTAATAGCATTGTTGGGCAAATTGAAAAGGGCCATTCTCAACTGGCTCGCATCTCTTGAAATCAATATCTGAAACTACGCTCCAAATACGGGTATCTAGCACTGTCAAAAGCCCACTCTTTAGCAGAGAGAAACCAAAAACGAAGGCCAGAGCATTTGTAATTAGAAATGCCCATCATGGCATCTCCCTACTTTCTGGGTCGACACTATTCTTGAGAACAAGCAGGTTCCATGTGGTATATACCTATGCCAGTAACTACATAGATCTGTAACCAGAGGTGTTCTGTTTTAGTGATCATTCAGTTGTATATTAACTTTGATCTGAATATTTCAATTGCAGATGATGAAGAGAGAGACCTTCAAATGGATGTTGGAGAATATGGAAAGCCACGTTTCAATGATGTGCTTTAAACCTTGAATTATATCTAAGAGTTGGCAACAGAATGGAAGTACTGCAAAACTGAACCATTTTTGTTTCAGTATTCCTTAACTTAAGATGGGAATAAAAAACCCAATAGGTTACTATAAAAGAAATTGTACTTAATGTTAGTTAAGTAATGGAAGAAGACATAAAATGCTGTTTATATATATATATATATATGTATATAGTTGTACTATTGCAAATTGTATTATCAAAATTACACTTCCGTTCTGTTACAGTGAGCCAATTAAATTTAAAGACTGTACCTTGTAATATTTGCATTTAAAACAAACTAATATATTATCAATTTATGCTGAATTGTTTCTGCAAATTAAGAAACCTTGTAAACTGGAGAACTTGTACAGTTTGTATCTTACATATGGAACAAATATACTGTGGAAACAATTGGATAGCCGAAGGTTTCCTTTTATACAGGATTAAATTATCTGTATAAATGAAAATACCCCTTTGTTTTCAATGCTGTATTTTGTATTTTGCAGGTATGCTTTCAATTGAGACAACTGAAAATGTGTAAAAATATGTAAGGGTTGCACCATCTTTAATAACAGAGATAGGTGACTGGAACTTTGAACAGTAACTTTCCAAAAATCAGAGCAGTGTTAGCCTAACACAGTGACCAAAGTTTGTATCCATAGTAGGAAATCAGTGATATTGGAGGAATAGAATTTGATAGATCCTGAAAAAAGTATGGCTGGCTGATTTCACCAGTCAAACTAAAAACTTAATCAGTATTTTAAAACTTCCCTTAGCAAATAACGTTTCCTACAATTTTCTTAACACTTGAAAGGGTAAAAGTGTTTCTTAAATTAGAAGTAGTCTAATTCTACAAAAGTTCTGTACAAATAGTTCACATTAGAGAAAACTAAAGGAAAGTATGTGCAATCCCTAGATATATGAACCCTCTGATTTCATGAACAACTCAAGTCTGCCATTTTAAATTTAAAGTTTAATACTCTGATCTGGATTTCTTCAAACATCTGACATCTGCACTGTTGCTTTTCTATTTCTGAAGAGTTTGTTAGGTAGATGCTTTTTGTATTCTGGGTTTAGATACTTGGTGAATTCTACAGGAATGGTTGGTGGCTTTTTTGTTTTGTTTTAAACAGTAAGTTCAAATATAAGGTTATTAATGCTACCTGCTTTTTAAAAAGGGCTACTGTGAATAGAATTTATGGGGCCTATGACAGGGGTGATTGTACTTTGCTGTCTCTGTACTCAGGTTCATATTTAAAATAGCATATTACATTTAAGATTCATTGTGATTAAGTGAATATTTTGAATACATTTAAAAGATCATATCAGTTTTTGACTAGAAAGATCTTCAAGTATCAAGTCTGAAATATACAATCACAACATGAAAATAAATCTTTGACAAGATTCTGTTTAAGCATCTGACCTTTTTTTAAAGAGACTTGAGTTTTGTATACTTAAGCCAAACCATTCATAATACCTTTTAAAAATTGCATGGTGTGAGAGTATATTTTCAATTTGAAAATAAAAGGCTGAACGTGCACAGTGAGATGCCATAACACTACAATACTATACAAATATTAAAATTCTACAACTAGCAGTCTTCAGTGGATAATACTGCATTTGTACGCTGCAAGATTTTACTTAAGAAACTTTCAGAAATGTAATTTTTGTCCTGATTGAGGTGTTCAAGGATCAGTTACTGAAACTGTTTACTGGGTTCTAATAAATTGTTATGAGTTTTCAGTGTGTCATTACTGGCTTTGTGGGCTATTTTAGACCAGTGTTTCTCAGCCAGTGGTACAAGTACCCTTAAGGCTACTCAAGAGAAGTCTGGGGGGGGGGGGGGGGGTACATCAACACAACTGAAATTTGGAAAAAACTGAATTGTTTGTTTAATTTGTATGGCATATTATTATTTTTGTACTTTTCACACCCACAAATTTCATCACCCACCTGGCTACGATTAAGTTGTTTAAACAAATGTGTGGCAATGGTAGAAAAAAATGTTGTCTGAAAACTGTAGGTACTGGGGGTGCTTATAATTTTTTTTAAAGGGATATTTTATTAAAAAAAAAAAGGTTGAGACACACTGTTTTGGACAAATGGTATGTATCTGAAGTTGATTCTTTGTACCTTGACTACCTGTGTGAGAGACTTGTTTTTTTGCTGAACTGATGTCTTCATGAAAGTGAGAGGCTGCTGAATATTAGCCATGCATAAGCAAATTCTGTGAAAGCTGCCACTTCTATACCAATCAGTTATTTTGGATGGGACTGTACACCTCAAGATATACTTACACACACAATTTTCAATACAGGATATTTACCTAGATTTTCATACATAAAAAAGCTGGGACACTGCAAAACCTAGGTCTGCTTCTATGTTGGTTTAAGACAGCTATAATTTTCCCTTAATACCAAATGCAAGGAAGAAATTTAGACACTAAATATTTAAACATCCTGTGGAAGGAGTAACTTAGACAGTAAATACATGATCATTAATATGCTAATTTTAAATGTTCTGAACTTAGACTTTGAAAGTATCAGTTTAAATCAGTGGTTCAGTCTGTAGCCCAATCATCACAGAGCTGCGGCCCATGTGACATCCTCAGGACCGCACAGATAGTATGGGATGCAGCCCATAATGGTAAATAGGTTGAGAAGCGCTGGCTTAGAGTAATTTTACTGATTGGTGTTTCTGTACGGAAGAAAGGAACCCTATCTGACCACAACGCTTATGCTAAGTATGCCTGTTACAGTGACAGAGTTATGTAACTCAATGTTCATTTTTCAGCTGTTCAGTCCTATCTAGATCTGATTTCTATATGCAACTACACCTGCCAGGTGCTTTAATTTTCTTGTGTGACAGTCTGTTACAATATTGCATCAACAACTCCATAATCATAACTTTCTTACCTACTATTGAGAGTCCTTCCCCTTTTGAATAGTAATTTTTGAAACAATAAGGGCTTTTCTACATTTTTTTAAATAATTTGGTGGTCCTGTAAAAGATTTTTCACCCCTTTTGTTTTGTTTAAAAACTTTCTCCACCAAAATCATGTTTAATATGCACTAGGGATGTTAAATTTAATTGAATCAACTAATTGACTAGTCAATGGATTTTCCATCAATTAGTTGATAAGTGGGGGAGCATAGCTTAATGCATTAATACAAGCAACTACTCACTTACATCCCTACCATGCACTGGCAACAGCCTGATACATGTAAAACTCTGAACAAATACCCTACTGAGAATAGATCTCAGTATTTTACATTCTCTTTGGCCCCTGTAGCCTGGCAAAGTCTTTTATAAAATGCTTTAGGTACTACAGCTTGAACCTCTAAAATCCAGGACACTCTGGTCTGGCAACATCCATGGTCGGGGAGGACCACAGATATTGCTGGCTCAGAGAACCTTGGTTGGGCATGCTCAAAATCATAGCCTGGCCTGGGCTGGTGGGAGGCAGCTTAGCCCCAGCAGGGCCAGTGTGGGGAGAGCACAGCCCTGATTAGGGCTGGCAGCAAGGATCACAGCTCCAGACATGGCTGGAGGTAATGGGACTGGTGTCCAGGAGCACAGCCCCAGCCAAGGCTAGAGGCAACTGGGTATGAAGCCCAAACTGGCACCGTCGCAGGCAGGGAGGAAGGCCGCTGCCACTGCTAGTGTTGGAGGCAGCAGGGCCAGCTGGCATGGGGGAAGACACAGCTCCAGTCAGGGCTGGCATGGGGAAGGCTGGCAGCAGGGAGCACAGCCCCACCCAGGAGCAGAACCCACAGCTGGGTAAAGAGCCAGAAAACTCCATGTCCAGGACCACACAGGTACCCAGGGAGCCAGACAAGGGAGGTCCGACCTGTAGTAAGATCACTGCAATTCATACTGGGCAGTTGTACTCCCAATCGTATATTCGCACTATCAGTTATAAGTAAGCTTCTTTGATTTCAGTTTAAACTGATTTTTTTACCCAAAATAAAATTTCTAGGTTTTACAAAAAATAGGTTTTTTTCCCCCAACTTTCACCCTACTTTTGTATCATTCAATTATATTTTTAAACTCCTTGTTTTAATCTGCCTCCTGGAATAAGGCTATGTATTGGTCTGGAAGGTATACGCAGTAAATCGGGTGGGGAACCTGTGGACTGGATTTGATCCAGCCTGCGGCCTGAGCGGGATTAGGAGACTGCAGAGCTGGGTGAAGGGAAGCTCCTTTGCCTGGGCCCTAGGCTGCAACCTCTAACACCCCTGCATGTGGGGCCACCCTTTCCTCCTGAGGGGCAAGGAGACAGCTCTGCACACATTTGTTCCTCCCTACCCTGTGCTAGAGCTGATCCTGTGCTGCCCTCGCTTGCAGGTGTCGTTCCCTGCAGCTCCCATTCGCTAATGAGAACTGCAAGGTGTGGTGTCTGCAGGCAAGAATGGGGGCTGCATGGAGCCACCTGTTCCGCTGCCCAGGGTAAGGGTCCCATACCCCAGTTCCCTGCCCTAGGCCAGAGTCCCTTCCACATCCTAACTCCCTCCCAGATCCTGCACCCTAGCTCCTTCCTAGATTTTGCACCCTTAGCCCCTCCTACACCCTCCCAGACCCTGCACCTCAACCTCTGTCTCCTGTCCTGAGCCTCCTCCCCTACCTCAAACACCCTAGCCCCGACCCAGAGCCCAGTTGGAGTCTTCCCTCCCACACGACCATTTGCCTCAAACTGCAGCCCTCTCCTGTGCTCTGAGCCCCTCATTTTTGACCCCACCCTGGAGCCCACAAAATCTAATAGCCCTGGGCTCCCAGAAGAGTTAATCTGGCCCTGACCACAGTGAGCTGGGGGTTTCCACCTAAACTAGGATGAGCCACAGCTGATGTTCTAGCCCCACTGCAAGTCTCTTGAGATTCAGCATCCCCACCCCCTGCCTCATGGGCTGGGAGCAAGGTGTCTTTTTCTCCTTTTTTTGTTGTTCGCTTCTCAGTGGGGGTCAGGCCAGGCCAGTGAAATTTGTTTTGGGGATGGGGAGGTTGGTTTTAGTTTCTTCTCATTTGGGGGCCAGGTCAAGGAGGGTTGTTTTTTTTTTTTCCTTTTGCTTAAGTTTTTTTTTTCCTTTTGCTAACCCCAAAAAAGTTCCACAATCCACAAACAGGCAGGCACGCAGGCTCTGAAGTGTGTGTGCGCATGTGAATGTACAACTGAATCTCTGGCCCATCACATACACATTTCAAGCTGTTAGCAGGCAATGGGTTAAAGATTTGACTCACCAAAATGGGAAGAAAATGAAAATTTATCCTTCTGTCCACTAAAACAAATTCTGATATGGACCCAGAAAAAATAAAGTATTTTGTGCCTATTTTCAGCTGCTTTTGTGCTGCAGTAATAAATACCAATAAATTCCTGTGAAAAATTAAATAAACCAAAACTGAAGGGCCCTAATTGTAATGCAGGAACAATCATTGTCAAACTGCTTATTTCATATAGCTCTCGTGTTTGTGATCTCCAGGCAGGTTCAGCATTGGCCAAACTGTTCAGATGCTGGTGGCAGTCTGTCTACAGTAGTCAGCCAGTGAGAGTGTCATGACTGACGTCTAACCAAGTACTGTGCATTGCCCACTCCTGCCATTCAGAGTCTTAAGCATACTCACAGGCCAATAATATAATGTCAGTCATAGAGACAGGCAGAACTATAGCCAAACACACTTGCCCATGTTGTTTCAGATAGGAAAGCAGAGGAAATTTCATGTTGATATTCTTAGAAGAGAGAACCTATTAACTCAATGAGTAACTCAATTCTTCTTTGAAATAAGACCCTATATTAGGAATTAAATTTAGATTCCAAAGACAAAAACAATAGGGTTTCTGCCATTTATTTCATATTTAATCAAAGCTGAAGAATGACGATGAAAAATGTCACAGTATACTAGGGTATGTCTACACTGCCACCCTAGTTTGAACTAGGGTGGCTAATGTAGGCATTCTAAGTTGCAAATGAAGCCTGGGATTTAAATATCCCGGGCTTCATTTGCATCTTGCCGGGCGCCGCCATTTTTAAATCCCCCTTAGTGCAGACTCCGTGCCTGTGGCTACATGTGGCACGGAGTAGGTAGTTTGAATTAGGTACACTACCGGTACACCTCATTCCAATGAGGGATAAGGGATCTTTCGGAAAAGGCTTTATTTTCCGAAAGATCCACGTCTAGACTGGGGCTTTTTTCCAGCAAAGCTCCAAGCCGGAAAAAAGCGGCAGCCATTTTTATGCTAATGAAGTGGGGGGGATTTAAATCCCCGCTTCATTTGCACTTGCGATATGTCTAATTTGCATCCCTTTTATGAAAAAGGGATGCAGTCTAGAGACAGCCCTAGAGTCTAATCCTGCCTTCTGGGATAGGAGTCCTGCAAAATAGAGTAGCCTGATATTGGAGTCTAGATCTCTCACTGAGTCTAGGTCTACATTGTGGAGCTATCTCGGGTTATCCTGTGTCTTAACAGCACGCCCATTATTTTGAAATATAACAGGCTCGCTATTCTTACTTCCCTGTAAACCACGTTCCAGGAGGAATAGTGGGTTATTTCAAAATTTGGCACTGAAATAATCTATTTAGAAATTGACTCAAAATAAGCTACACAATTTTGAGCTAGGGGTGCAGTGTACACATACCCTGGGAGAATTTCACTTCTTGTGGGCTTTTTGCAGGGGAATGGGGTTGCTGTGAGAAAGCTTCTGTCTATATTTGACTACTGTGGAGAGAAAGGCGGTTTTGTCAATGTATCT